TGTGGCGACGGCACCAGGATGAAAGACTGTGAAACACCCCAAGACATCCAAGACCTTCTAATGCGCATGTCTCCTGTTGAGATCGCTGCAGCTACGCAGGCTTTATTTGTGCGAAAGGTTGCTAGGGACTGTCTTGATAGCCCACAGTCTGCAGCACTTGCGTCATTTGCTTCAAACGCACATGCGTGATACCGTAATGCACGGCTCACATGCAGAGCCCACGCAGCAGTTGGGACGCCATTGATGTGTGGCGCGGGGTGGCTGTTGCTTGCAGGATGAAGCATGCCAAGTCAACGTTTTAATAAGGGTTTTACGGTTTTTAAGGGTTTGGAGGGTTTTAAGGGTTTGGAGGGTTTGGAGCGTTTTAAGGGTTTGGAGGGTTTTAGGGCTGGCAAACGGCAGACTTGGACGCCCATAAGAAGCCATTGATGTGTGGCCCTGGGGTGCCGGTTGGCTGCAAGAGCGGCCATAAGAAGCCATTGATGTGTGGCGCGGGGTGGCTGTTGGCTGCAGGATGAAGCATGCCAAGTCAAACGTTTTAAGGGGTTTGTTAACGGTTTTTAAGGTTTGGAGGTTTTAAAAGGGTTTGGAGGTTTGGAGCGTTTTAAGGGTTTGGAGGGTTTTAGGGCTGGCAAACGGCAGACTTGGACGCCCATAAGAAGCCATTGATGTGTGGCCCTGGGGTGCCGGTTGGCTGCAAGAGTGGCCATAAGAAGCGCCTGCAAGAGTGGCCATAAGAAGCCATTGATGTGTGGCCCTGGGGTGCCGGTTGGCTGCAAGAGTGGCCATAAGAAGCCATTGATGTGTGGCGCGGGGTGGCTGTTGCTTGCAGGATGAAGCATGCCAAGTCAACGTTTTAATAAGGGTTTTACGGTTTTTAAGGGTTTGGAGGGTTTTAAGGGTTTGGAGGGTTTGGAGCGTTTTAAGGGTTTGGAGGGTTTTAGGGCTGGCAAACGGCAGACTTGGACGCCCAGAAGAAGCCATTGATGTGTGGCCCTGGGGTGCCGGTTGGCTGCAAGAGTGGCCATAAGAAGCCATTGATGTGTGGCGCGGGGTGGCTGTTGGTTGCAGGATGAAGCGTGCCAAGGCAACGTTTTAAGGGTTTTACGGTTTTTAAGGGTTTGGAGGGTTTTAAGGGTTTGGAGGGTTTGGAGCGTTTGGAGGGTTTTAGGGCTGGCAAACGGCAGACTTGGACGCCCATAAGAAGCCATTGATGTGTGGCCCTGGGGTGCCGGTTGGCTGCAAGAGTGGCCATAAGAAGCGGCTGCAAGAGTGGCCATAAGAAGCCATTGATGTGTGGCCCTGGGGTGCCGGTTGGCTGCAAGAGTGGCCATAAGAAGCGGCTGCAAGAGTGGCCATAAGAAGCCATTGATGTGTGGCGCGGGGTGGCTGTTGGCTGCAGGGTGAAGTTTGGAGGGTTTTAGGGCTGGCAAACGGCAGACTTGGACGCCCATAAGAAGCCATTGATGTGTGGCCCTGGGGTGCCGGTTGGCTGCAAGAGTGGCCATAAGAAGCCATTGATGTGTGGCGCGGGGTGGCTGTTGGCTGCAGGATGAAGCATGCCAAGTCAACGTTTTATAAGGGGTTTGTGTGTGGCCCTGGGGTGCCGGTTGGCTGCAAGAGTGGCCATAAGAAGCGGCTGCAAGAGTGGCCATAAGAAGCCATTGATGTGTGGCGCGGGGTGGCTGTTGGCTGCAGGGTGAAGTTTGGAGGGTTTTAGGGCTGGCAAACGGCAGACTTGGACGCCCATAAGAAGCCATTGATGTGTGGCCCTGGGGTGCCGGTTGGCTGCAAGAGTGGCCATAAGAAGCCATTGATGTGTGGCGCGGGGCTGTTGGCTGCAGGATGAAGCATGCCAAGTCAACGTTTTAAGGGTTTTACGGTTTTTAAGGGTTTGGAGGGTTTTAAGGGTTTGGAGGGTTTGGAGCGTTTTAAGGGTTTGGAGGGTAGGGCTGGCAAACGGCAGACTTGGACGCCCATAAGAAGCAAAGGGCAGACTTGGACGCCCATAAGAAGCCATTGATGTGTGGCCCTGGGGTGCATGTTGGCTGGGGTGCCTGTTGCCTGCAAGAGTGGCCATAAGAAGCTATTGATGTGGCTTGATGGCTGCAAGATGGGTTTGACCGTGGAAAGCGAAGAAGGAGAAGTTCCACACCTGCGGTGGTCCCAGGCGCCGCCCCTGCCTTGGCCAAGGCCGGGGTCGGCGGATTATCATAGATTATATGTTTATTATTTTTATCAATATGTTGGTCAAATCTTTGCATAATGTTCTTTCATATCATAAAAAACATGAACGCATGGGATTGCACAACCAAAAACAAGAACCCCACACAAAGATGTGGGGACCAGAAAATTGCCCCCCCCTCTAGAAGCTATATATTATATTATACATATATATATATATTATATATATATATTATATTATATTATACATATATATATATATTATATATATATATTATATATTATATATTATATATATTTATATATTATATATATTATATATATATTGTATATTATATATATTATATTTCAGTTTTGTTTGGATCTCCTGCGAGATCTCTGGGGGAATCCCTCTGGGGATTTCTGGAGATCTCTCCGGATATCCCGGGCATCCCCTGGAGGAATTCCGCGTGGGATCTGATCTTTGGGGATCCCTGGCGATGGAAAATTTCTAGAGATCTCTGATATCTGGGAGGCGCATTAAGGAGAAATTTCAGGAAAAGGAACATGATCTTTGCCATTACATAGAAACAAGATAGTTTATAAAGTTTTGGAAACAACTGCAGTGCATAAGATGGTCCAATGATTACTTCCATTGATTATTTTGCCAATGTTCCTCAGCAGAATTGTGCCAGAGAAAGCCAGGACAACCTCTTTTACAATAGTTTTAACTAATAATACCCTTCAAAAAACAAGTAAATTTCCACTATTTTTATGTTGGGAATAAAGTCTTTAGCACGAGCGATGTTCTAAACCCGTTTTTGTATCTAGTTCTGCTCCTAGCATGGCTGAATATAGGCATATCCTTGGATATATCTTGTACTAGTGCAACTACAGGCTATCACTATTTAGGCTAAGCATATTGTTTGATCAGGACATTCAGAAATTTGGCTACCATGATAGCCAATACAAACTCTATAATTTACCATTTTGCAATGATATCCCTAATGATAGTTATATGCAGTTCTAACAGTACAATAACGTGTAATGTCCAGGTATGTGCTTTGCCAGTATTGCTTGTATTGACATTATTTCCATGCTCTCCGCTTGTTTGCAATGTTGGTTTGTGAGAGAGACAATTACAAGTTAATGCCACTTTCAATTTGCCAAAGCAATTCCTATTGACAAAAGATAGCAGGCATACAAGGATTTCTTCCAATATTTCCTATCTTAAACTCTAAATTTATGGAATGGTCGTGCTATATGTTGGCTTGAAGCTGATCTCTGCTACGTGCATGTGGGATTGACTTTACGTTGTTGTTTTTCGATGGTGATTGAACAAAAGTAAGCTTGCATATTGTATATTTCATGTGCTTTATTCCATGTGAGAAGAGTCATTTGCTGCATGCCCCTCCACGGCTACTGTTAACTTGTGACATCATATTCACTTGATTACAGAACTTGATAGTCATTAAGATCTACGCTCCCATTATATTTCTTTTCATTTCAATCTTTTTTATGATCATTCCAATCAATTTCAATCACGTTGGTTTGTATTGGATACTTATTGTGAGGTGTTGACTTCCAACCCTTGATACTTACATCCTTGCAAGTGCAACTGCTTGCATTTCCCATGATGTTGTGAAGTCCAAACTTTGTTTGCACATGTAAAAACCACCAATCTAATCAATACAGCTAAACAACAGCATTTGCAATTATCTATTGTGATGTCAAAAGGGGATCTGCCTTTGCACACATATTTAGTTTTGCTATTGTACTACGCGTTAGGTCATTAGGTATTGTCAACACATAGACACAGACAACTATATGTATAGATATTGAGCTTGCTCCTTGCCATGTTTATTTCCAAGCAGCTGTGCAAAAACCATTGGAAGAGCAGTGTACAACCACAGGAATTGGACCCTATCTCCAGTCCTACTATACTATTTGACAAACACTTTACTGAACTAAATGAAACAAGAACCAAATAAAGTATCTAATGGGAATGTAGCAGACACAAAGTAAACAACATTAAACACTAAAATTCTTTTGAAAACAACATGCTATGAATACAAGCAACATGAGCCGTTAAACACACACTCAAGAAAACACGTAAAAATGGGATCCCTATTTCGTCACACTCTAAATTTATGGAAACCCCCGTTTTTTTATTGTCAATTGCAAACCATCCAGCTATTGGGGTACCCCCCATGTCTAGAAACCTCCGTGTCATGTTCATTGATGGTATTCTTCGTATACCATTGTATACCCCGATAATCCTCAGACCGACATTGGAAATGTTCTTGCCCGGGTGGAGTGGGGGGGATCATACCATTGGGGAGAAAGAAATTCTCCCCTGCCTGAAACCTAGATTTGAAACTTGGCAGAAGTTTGTCCTCGGTTTTTCGCGCCTCGTTGCCGTGAATTCCCGCCGACCAGAAATTCTTGATTGATTTTTGGTGCCAAAATCAGAAAGTGGCAATAAAATGCCTTGCCACCAAATTCATGCTTGAATGTGCATCCAACATCATCCAATTTCATCCAATTTCAAAAACCCTCAGAAACGCCTCTTTAAAAAGGGGTCAGGAAATTCTTTTTAGATAGGGGTATTTTCTGCGGTTTAACCAGATTTCAGTTTTTCGCCTGCAGTTTGTTTTTTTTTTCTGCCCGACGACGGGTTTACTGTTCAAGCTGGGGCCAGAATTTTGGTCAAAATGATGATCAGTCATGTTGCATTATATATTAATGATTATGCATGCATTATATGTTAATTTACATTTACATTTATGCTTACATTCACATGTTACACGCATACCATAGATTACATCAGTTTAGCATTTCATTAACATTACATTTCATTACATGACATGACATTACATTACACTACACATTTCACTACATGACATGTCATGACATGTCAGTACGTGTCCATTCCATTACATGACATACATACAGACTGACAGACTGACAGACAGACAGTTCAGATGTGCATGCATGCATGCATCCATGCATCCATCCATGCATCCATCCATCCATCCATCCATCCATCCATTTTCCATCCTTTTATTTTTCAATTCTTCCATCCATCCGCACATCCATATAATTCTGCATACATGTTACATGCTGGTATATTCGTACAGAAACTGTTATGGCGACCCTGTAGCAGCAAGACTTTTCTTTTTGCGGTTTGGACCAGATTCTTTTGTATATGCTGTAGATTCTGCGTGCAAAGTGGTGTCACTAATCATAAGTTGGTTGATTATCCATCCTATATACGGGCATGAGTTTCCCTTAGGATTTCAGGGTGGTTAACCCCCCTATAGAGGATGGATTTTCTACAATTCGAAAAGCACGAATTTGCTTAAATGATGCTTTCGAAGTTCCCCCATTTTTCTACAGAACAACTTTTGGAGACCTCTGAGCCGTAAGATGCTGATTTTCTGGATAGTTTAGGTGCCCAGAATCCAGAAGCAATTCCCTTTCCAGCATTTGAATGGGTGGACGATTTCGGCATATTTTAGCCCTGCCTTGGATTTTGCCATAGCCTCACAACCTCAATCCAACCGGGGAGGCCACGAAACAGGCATTTGTTTCGACACATATTAAGTGGTTTTTTCTACACGCGTTAGGCGCTGTCCACCCAGAGGACCTTTAGAAAATGGAACTCCTGGGGGCCCACATGTGGGAGCCCTTAGAAAATCAAATCCGTGGTATGTTTATTCTCATTGCGTTCTCTGTAAGGGGTGATACGTCCAGTGAACTGGGCATTTTCGAAAAGCTCGATCGAAAAATTCGAAACTGCACGCTGGGTTGGATGGTGGGCTCTAGAAAAAGGGTAGCAGTAACATGCAGTAACTTGAAGTGGTTTACAACATATTTGATATCGTATTTGCAAGAATATGCAATTCAAGTACGGCGGTGTTTTTCTAAGGAAAAATGATAAAACTAGCTTCTAAAATGCATACATGGCCATTTTTCTAGGATACCAAAATTGGTTTGATGTCTGTTGCTAGATTTTCTTGGGTCCCTAATTTATAACACCTACATTTTCTACTAGAAAATCACATGTGCCAACCGGGGGAGTAAACTCGTACAGGTATCATCCTACTATAGTTGCCATAAATTCTAGACAAGAGAGTTATAAACCAACTTAGCCAACTACGGGGCACCACCTGTAGGTGTGACTTGTGCCTTTTTGAGCCTTTTTGGTTTCACGTCCTGGGTGAAATAGAGTTTGCCGGCATGTTGCGAATACATGGAATAGCATGAAATAGATAGCCTGATCATGCTTGATGCCAAATATATCCAAATATACTGCTGTGTTCCAGTGCTAGTTCAGTGCCAGTCTCTAGTTCAATCCGTTTCTATTGCAACAAGTTTGACTTGCAATTAAAGCTGTTTTGACAACGGGACAAGACTGGACATTCGGTCCCATAAAGGTCCGCTGCTGCGTGCGAGACATGCTACACACTGGGGCATGCTGTTCTGCAATGTGCTTGGAAACCGAGGGACGCAAACATGCCTGGAACTTCAAACGTGCACAAATAAGTGTTCATTCCCCAAAAACTGTACCAAAAGGGTCAAACGAACACATATTGACAAAACGCGCGCAATTTGCCAAAACGTGCACAACTTAGCTAAACGTGCAGAAATCCCCGTTTCGATCGTTGGCGGGACAATTCTTGATCATTTGTTGTGCAACCGCCGGTGCAAAAAGAGTGCAACCAACGCGTGCAATTTTGCGCAAACCGGCGCAATTTAGAGCAACCGAGCGCAATTTCAAAAAGTGTACGATTTTGTTTTAGCCAGCGTGAGATGGCCCAGCCATCTCAGCCAACCTTAAAACGCGCACCTTTTTTCGAAACGCGCGCGAATTTACCCAATGAGCAGAAATTGAGCAAATGCGCACATTTTCAAACGCACGGAAATTTGTGTTCATTTGATGTTCTATGGAAGATAAGTGATCGCGCAGTGCGATGGACGCCGCCAAAGATCTGAAACCTCGGGACCGTTGCTCAGAAAATGTCATGGTAGCCCCACGTGGCGGCGATAAGGGGCCCCGAACTTGGCCATCCAGTTTTCAGGGTCAGCCCTTCGAGCCAAACCACGGTATATGGGCAACATGATTTGCTATAAAGAACGCCGCCAACTCCAACCAAGATGCAAGGATATCGCATTTAAAGCATTCCCCGCGCAATGAAGCTGGTTACTGGCTGATGCATCTGCCTGGGCCGTTGAAGAAGCACAAGCAACCAAGGGTTTAACATTTGAGCAATGTATTCCCGCATGTTACCTTGTCATCATCAAGATATTTACCACGGTTGCTACACTTCAGCAGAAGCGGGAAGACCCTGCAAAAACACAGGTCATTCAGTAGGTGGCCCTTTTATCTCAAGTCTTTTTGCACGTTCGAGACGCCATTGCGTTGGTTATACTACTTGTTCAAGTTTTGGTAGGCGCAGCTGTTGTCAACTGTTATCTACTTTGTTCTATTACTGTGGGTAAAGAAATAATAAACCATCCAAATAGGTGGTATCAACCATTCCCAAATGGGTGGCGTGCTTTCCAGAACCTTCACTGTTCGACACAGAACGCACGCTCTGCCAGCTGCGCCAGGTCCGCGTTCCACGGCCAAGCTCCGGGCGGGAACCCCCGCCCGTGACGGTGGAGGCGCGGCGAGATGAATCGATGGCTGGCCGTGAGGTGAGCTACCCTTCATGAAGTGCATACATACATACATACATACATACGTACATACATAATCATACATACATACATACATACATACATACATACATACATACATACATACATACATACATACATACATACATACATACATACATACATACATACATACATACATACATACATACATACATACATACATACATACATACATACATACATACATACATACATACATACATACATACATACATACATACATACATACATACATACATACTACATACATACATACATACATACATACGTACATACATACATACATACATACATACATAAATAATACGTACATACATATACATACATACATACATACATACATACATACATACGTACATACATACATACATACATACATACATACATAAATACATACGTACATACATACGTACATACATACATACATAAATACATACGTACATACATACGTACATACATACGTACATACATAAATACATACGTACATACATACGTACATACATACATACATAAATACATACGTACATACATACATACATACATGAATACATACGTACATACATACGTACATACATACATACATACATACATATTTGCATATAATTACAAATAGAAAATGATGCACCTATAAATTTAGAAATATATTTATTATAATATAATATGCTATCATATCGTATAATATAATTTGATATAATATAATTTAATAAAATAGAATAGAATATGTTATAATATACTACACTATAATATAATAGAATAGAAAAATATATATAATACATATATACCTTATAACTGCATATGGATTTTGATGGATTTTGTATATATATATATCCATATCTATGGGTTGTAAACAGTTCACTAATTATCTGGGATGCACATTCAGGTGCTGGAAAACTAAAAGCAGACGTTGGCTCCTGAAAAAGGAGTTTCCTCACATGGCGGGTTCCATCTCGAGTTTTCCCTGCTGTATTACCTCAAACAGTGGGTTTTGATTGCTTGAACAGGACTCTGCAACTTGTTTAACCTTTCCGTTGGAAAAAATATGTGAACTTCACCTCAGGCAAGCACGCAAACTTCATCCACTGCGCCAAATTTTGTTCAAAGTCCGCGAAACCAGCGTTTTGTAGGAAAAAACGTGTTGTTTCCAACAATTAATGTTTCAAATTGTTGACGAAATTTTGCATCTATTGATTGAGATTCATCCGGGAGAGATTTTGCTTTGTTCAGCCATCTTCATTGTATGTTGTTTGGCCATGTTTGGCCTGGTGTCTGTTCTGTGACCCGGTTGAAACACTGATTGTAATATGTATCCCCATGTTTTTCTAACCACCTTATGTTTATGTAATTGTTTGAATTCGCATGCGTGGTTACTTCAATTTTCATGTGTGGTTGTCAAATCCCTGTTGGCTGTTGACACTGTCATTTTGCGTGGACATTTTGGCCTTGTACTTACTTCCAGTCAGATTGATGGTTGAGACTGGTTGATCAATTTTTGGCATTTTCCTCGTCATTGTTGAGAATATTTCAACATACGTTTTTTTGTTTTTTCATCCCGAAAAATTGTTATTGGACATTGGATATTCAAAATTCCAAAAACATATATATATATATAGGTTTTCATGATTTTCCCAAAACTCAGTGATGATAGGTCAAGTCTTCATTATACAATCAAAATTATCGTGAATTGAACGGGTTTTCCAGGACAAAATGCCGAACCACATGTTGTTCCCGATATATGAAGTAATTCCCGTAAATGAAAACATCTCAACTAGTTCCGGGAAAATCATTCGAGTACCCGTCTACTATTGATGTTGGTTAAATCCCGATTGATTGTTGTTTAGACCTTTAATTTAGTTTAGTTTTTGTTGGATGAATTAAGAAAAAAAACGCGTTCAAATGTTGATTGCTGCAAACAAAAAATGATGATGGTTAAAATAGTCACATAAAAATGTGATTAGTCATGGTTAATCAATATGACTGTGCAACAGCACTTTTGTGATACGATCGTAAACACATATGAATAAGAATGGTAATTCATCATCATGGTTAATAAACATAAAAATGGAATAATCTTTACATCATAAATATAGTTCTATAGGTAGTTCTGTCTGAACATGGGAAAAAAACTTCCCAAATAGTCCTTCAAAAATTGGTAAAGCGATCATAAACCATTGGATTTTCATCGGCAGGTTGACTTGCCACGGCGGCGACCACCAAACGTCGCCGTCGCTTGCGTCACTGCACCTCCCTCGCCGTTGCCCAGGTGCCGTGGACCAAGGGTATTCCTGAAGGGAAAACTCAATAAATAGAGAGGTTGGAAATCTGAAACCTGAAACCTGCACATTTTGGGAAACAACATGTATACCATCCTGAAAATGGTTATTTTTAGGTTGATATATTGTTAAAATGTGTTAAATAGGTTATTGTATATGTTTTTTCTTTGAGTGCTCCAGTTGCAACTGCTGGTTGGGAATGACGGGGGACCTTAAAGATAATCAACAGTATTAATGTATTGCTTGAACGGAATATCAAGGAAATAATGGTTTGGGGATTAATGTACAGTACCTCAATTTGACATTTAGTTTAGTGGTTCAATGGGACTTTTACAGATACCTAATTTGGGATTGACCCATTAAGCTGCTAATCCCAGTCGGTGCTGACTCATTGACCAGATTTCTTTCTCGCAAACAAGAATCGGAACCCACACCTGCAAACATGGTATTAAATGGCGAACGAAGGGTATTAAGGACCTTGACTGCATGAACTGCGATAATTATCCCCGGTCAAAATGTGGCAGAACTTCACCTATGCCCCAAGAGGGTTTTGCCAAAATTACGGAGATGCGAGTTGGTCAGAGTTGGGTTGAATACCACCGTGGTGAGGATAGGTGAGGCCTAGGGACCTGTGGCAGCCCCACAATCTAAAAATTGGAAACCTGCAAATTGTGCGGTCAAGAGTCATCGACATCATCCTGGAAAAGGATGTCTGTGGTAAATCCCATTATAAACTAGCACTATATATACGTGTATATATATATAATATATATATATATATGATATAACCCCCTTTCAATTTCATTAGTAATATTGATAAACGATCATCCACACATATTCCCCTTTCATATCATCCCCTAAGTCACTCCTAAAATCTTACCAGGTGGGAAACCATCCACAACTCCAGGCGATGGTCCTTTTGAGAGAACGCAGCGGCGGAGTCAACGGAGCGTTAAAGAATCCGGGACCACGGTGGGACAGGTTCACAGCTTCCCCACGGGCCCAAGGGGTTGAACAATGTGGAAACCAGGAACTACGCAAGTTTCCAAAAATTCTAAAGTTGCCGGTTTGGAGGAGTTGTCATATGCACTAGAGTCAAAAGTGTCAGCTCTTGCTCGTTGTGCTACGTCCATGAATCTGGGTTGAACAACTAAAACGTCCTAAAATGAGCTCGGGGCCTTCTAAAAACCCACTATTACCCAATATGGACGTATCATCCAAGGAAGTTTAGAAGTCAAACTTCCGACAATATGGACAGATGAAAAGCAGAGATGGGAAGAGTAAGAGAAGAGAAGAGAAGAGAAGAGAAGAAGAACGAAGCTCAAAAAGAGAAGTCCCAGAAGAAAGAAGCTGCAGATGCGCGAAAAGGTAGGAAAGTCGCGAAACACTGTGTTTTCCAATGATTTGTAGCTCCGGAGGGTCGAAAAGTAGGCTCGCTAAAGCGGCGGGTGCGGAGCCATCTGGCCAGATGAGAGATTAAAAAATTGCACGCCGTTGTGGCGCGAAGCACATTTCGAAGTCAAAATGTACAAAGCACCAGGTCCGGACCACTTTTGGAAGTTGAGATGTCGAAAAAGTGCACGCCGTTGTGGCGCGAAGCACATTTCGAAGTCAAAATGTACAAAGCACACCATGTACGGACCACTTTTGGAAGTTGCGATGTCCAAAAAGTGCACGCCGTTGTGGCGCGAAGCACATTTCGAAGTCAAAATGTACAAAGCACACCATGTACGGACCACTTTTGAAGGTTCAGATGTGGTTTTGCGTGGCAGGCGCAAGAGATTGTGCACCTTGACAAAAGTGAGCAAAACGTGAGGGTTTTGTAGCATTTCCAAAAACGATGGCAGGGGTGGGACAGTTGAAGAGGATCTGCAAAGATGCATTTTCCGTGGCAGGCGCAGAACAAGAGACATGTTCATCAGAGTTGTTAGGAGGTCCGGGCGCTGATTTCCTGAGAGGGGTTGCATTTTGGAGCATCAGATCTTCAGGTTAGCTGAGATGATCTTGCGTGACAGGTGCAGCACTTCGTAACCCGGCATCACTTTTTCGTGGCAGGCGCAGTACTTTAGACAGGTGGAGTGGAAAAATCGCAAAACGCATTTGTACGAGGCCGTCAGCTCTGCACTCAACGTTCCATGGTTTTTGAAGGAAGTCTCGCAGAGAGTTTCATTTTTATTGATGTCAACTCCGAAAATTGAGGAAGTCGCAGAATTGCTTCGTTTTGGATGGTGTCAAGTTCCAAAATTGAGGATGTCTCGCAGAATTTCTCGTTGTGCATGTTGTCAAGTTCAAAAATTGAGGACGTGTCGCAAAATAGCTGCGTTTTCAAGCTTGCAGAGAGACAGATAGATAGATAGATAGATAGATAGATAGATAGATAGATAGATAGATAGATAGATAGATAGATAGATAGATAGAGAGATAGAGAGATAGAGAGATAGAGAGATAGAGAGATAGAGAGATAGATAGAGAGATAGATAAACAGAAAGACAAATTAATAGATAAAAAATACCTAGATAGACAGACAGATAGACATCTGAATTTGCACTACACCACACTACAACTACAACTTCAACTACAACTTCAACTACCACTACAACTACAACTTCAACTACACTTCAACTACAAGAACTACAGCTACAACCACATCTACAACTTCAACTACCCTTCAACTACAACTACAACCTCAACTACAAATTACTACAATTACAACTGCAATATCAAGTGATATCAAGTGCCACTACAACTACAACTGCAACAGCTACCACAACTGCACTACAACTGCAACTGCAACTACAGCCGCAACTACAGCTACAACTACAACTTCAGCTACACTACAACTACACTTCGACTACAACTTCAACTACACTACTACTACAACAAGTACCACGACACTACACTACAGCTACAACTACAACTACAGTTACAAGTACAACTCCAACTCCTACAACTATTGCAACTGCTACAATGACTACAATTAAGACAATTACAACTTCAACTACACTACAGGTACACTGCAACTACAACAACTACTACTACATTCCAACTTCAACAACTTCAACAACATCAATACCACTACAACTACAACTACAACTACTGCGCTACACCACACTACATCCAGGAGTTGCGAGTGAGGTGACCACTGCAACGATTGCAACCACTCCAAAAAACATAACTCCAACCACCTTTCGGTCCATCAGTGGATTCGCTCTGCCATCCGTGATTCACAGCAACCAACCTCTCCTATAGGTTTCCTATTTCTGAAACTTCCACCACCGCCTTGTGCGGCACTACTGGTATCCTGATGTATCCTGCACATAATGGTCTACTCCATATTGGTAGGTCTCAAAATATTATTGATCCTTTCCGTGTTTGTGAACCCAGAGAACGATGAAGTTGGATTAAATCTCTGCGATGATTTTCCTTTTTTCCCATGATCCTGAGGTCCTTGAAGTTAGCGGATGATTGTCAACCGCGTTGTCCATTTTATGATATACATTGATATTCCTGGTCTAAGGGGCTATTACAAAAAATGCAATCAAACCAGGATCATCCCAGCTTTTCTGTGTGTGTTTGGCACATGCTGTTCCGAGAATCCGTTGAATCGGCTGAATCGAGACAGGTTCGTCAAAATGACGGACCATTTTCCAAGAAAAATTGCGCTGGGAGGCGAAGTTGAATTGCTCCTCAGGTTTTCTCAATTCCAGTTGAATGCCTTTGCACTGGACTTTGGGAGAAATGCTCAAATGAGACAAATGCCTCAGTTGCAGCAGGTCAGTTAATTTTCTGAATCGGAGGGATTATTCATGGCCCAGCATATTTGTTTCAATCCCCAGCATTGGGTACGGGTTGGTTTGTTTTGATCCATTAGGCTGGTTTTTACAGACATTGGCTCCAGTTCAACCCATGGATTTAATGCTCAAATATGGTGGTTCCGGTCAATTCCCCCCCTTCATGCAAGTCTGGTATCAATTTTCAGACAGGGGTATAGTACCCCCCCAAGCATTGACACTGGGTCCCACATCCAGCGGCGTTCTCCTGGGACCTGATGTTTCACCTCACAGGGCATCGCTTGAGAGGAGACTTTCACTGGGTAAAGCTGGGGGTCAAAAACAACCCAAAATGGCCATTGTAAATGGGAACATGATCAAAACACGATCAATTTTTTGAGGATATTCCATTTCCAGACACACCTAAACTAACTAACTTCATTGGCTTGCGGGAATGACGTACTGTTTGCAAGTTCTGATAGTATGGTGGAAAAGGTTGACCTAATCCAGCTTGCAGCTAAATTCAACATGTTTGTTTGCAGATGTTTGAAGGGTATCCGAGAGTATCCAATGTCGACACTGTTTTTGCTCAGCACCATTCCCCATGCGCAGATTTTTTTCTGACAGCAACTGACGATTTCCCATCGCCATTATAGATTACCAGAAGGTACAGTTGTGACGATATCGTGAGTGAATTACGGGCCAGGAAAGAAGAAACATCTGCATGACTGACTTTTTTTTTCCACCTTAAAGTGAAATTGACCAGCGGATGGATCGAGAGCTTATGAAACCACCCAAACCAAGACATCAAGCTTTCCTCCTTCTCTCCAGGATCCTTCCCTGGGTCAAACTTCGTTGCATGTCCGCGGCCACCAGCGCAGCGTTGAGCGGAAACCCGCTGAAGGAAAAGCCGATCCCCTGCCCGGGCCACTCCTCTCAGCCAGCATTTGTTCATCCCCAAGAGTTGTGTTTCAGAAATGGACAGTTTCATGACCTGAAAAATCATTGCAATTTGTGAAATTTACCACATTTATCCACATTTTAAATATTGTTATCCAATTATCCAGCATCTTATTGGATCGAATTTGATGAATATCATAGATGTTATGCCGGGCCGCAGGCTGCGGACCACCAACCTCATTTAGATTGGATCACTGATACGTCCTGATGGGGTACCGTACCTCAAAATCTACTCCCGAATCGTTTAACCTATAAATTTACTTTACTTCGTGTGATCCCCACCATGACATTTATACATTGTGTTACTGGCAAATCTTCTGGCATTATATCTTCTGGCATTCTATCTGGCATATCTTCTGGCATTCTACCTGGCATATCTTCTGGCATATTATCTACTCAAACCTTCTGGCATTCTATCTGGCAAACATTCTGGCACTTTATCTGGCATATCTTCTGGCATTCTATCTGGCATATCTTCTAACATTCTATCTGGCATATCTCCTGGCATTCTATCTGGCAAACATTCTGGCACTTTATCTGGCATATCTTCTGGCATTCTATCTGGCATATCTTCTAACATTCTATCTGGCATATCTCCTGGCACTCTATCTGGCATATCTTATGGCATTTTATCTGGCATATCTTCTCGCATTCTATCTGACATTCTATCTGGCATATCTTCTGGCATTCTGTCTGGCTTTTGAGGTCCAGCGGTGAGCGCTGAGCTCGGAAGGCCCCAGGTTGAGGTCCAGCGGCGCGCACTGAGCTCGGCAGGTCCCAGGTTGAGGTCCAGCGGTGCGCACTGAGCTAGGAAGGTCCCAGGTTGAGGTCCAGCGGTGCGCGCACTGAGCTGGGAAGGTCCCAGGTTGAGGTCCAGCAGTGCGTACTGAGCTGGGAAGGTCCCAGGTTGAGGTCCAGCAGTGCGCACTGAGCTCGGAAGTTGGCGAAGAGCTTGGCGAAGAGTTGGCAAGGCGGAAGTGGAGGTGGAAGCAGACATGGTCGAGGAGAAACTGGAGGAGGAGGAGAAGGAGGAGGACAACAGCTCTGTTAAAATCTAACAACCCTCACCTGGCAGGTGGGGAATCAATTTGTAAGGGGGGAAGTGCTTATTTTCAGACACATCCACATCATATTCTTTGATGGTATATTCCACATCTATACTGGAACTTATATATCGATTCCTTACATCCCGA